TGTTGACGAAGTATGACCTAGCCACGTACTCACTTCTAAAGGCCACGTCCAGCACCTAATAATGTATGTTGTATGTCCTGCATAGGTTGTGTTTACTCTCGTGAAAATCATAATAATAATATTATATACAGACGAACAAAGCGTACGCCGTCACAAGAGCTGCAGGCCAACAAGGACGGACCACATTTGATTTGTTTGATGGGTTTTGTTAGCCGGATTACGTTGTTTAAGTGGGTGCGGAGGTGAAAGGGGCAAATTTCCATTATTATTAAAAGTAAAATTCTTAGTTTTCTTTAATTTAAGTCTTTGAGTTTCGGGGGTGACGCTTTAGTTATTGTCACTAAAATATTTTTAATGAAATTTTAAAATCTCGTAGTTGGTTTATTTTTAAAACCTATTAGTTGTCAAAATTTATAATCACTTGTGTGTGAGAGATAAATATTCTGGAAGTCTTCATAATAGGTTTTCTGAAAGTTTGATTAGATTTACATAGTTCTCAGGAACACTTTTCAATTTCCAGTAAATATAGTAGCCCAACAATGTTTTTTCCACTTTTACTACTTAGTATACTTTTAATGGGAAATTTGAGAAAAGTATTTAGAGATCATTTAAGGAAAAAGTAACACTAAAACGTTACATTATGGTTATATTTTTCACCCTTATTTCAATAAGAGGAATCATTATCAATTTTTGTTTTTAAATGGTAACCTATACTGACGATATATTTCACTTCTAAGTTTTGATTAGGGGAGAGTGGTGGAATACTGTTAAAATGCTTTTCACTGCACTACCATATAAATAATGTATTACTGCTCCCTCCCCTAATAAATATTGATCGTCAACGGGTTGACAAGAAATTTAAAAGGCGAAATTGATTTAAATTAATATTTCATCTATTTATGGAAATTTTTTAATATAGGTTGCAATTTGAAAATCAAAAGTTAGTTTCACGCGAAAAAAAAAATAAATGCAACATATTGGAGCTACTTATTTCTTAAATGATCTAAAAAACAAATTTCGAGAAAAGACGTCCTAGGATAATCAGACAAGTTCAGCTTCACTTTTATAGATAGTTTAATGTATACCAGTAAGCAACAATCAACGATAAACGATAATTGGTTACAAAAAAAAACGATTCTGAGCGGAGTTTACTTGATAGTGATGCTTTGTCAACAATATAAGAATCATTTTATAGTAAAATAATTAAATAGGCTTAATATATATTCTTTAATAATAATATTTTAACATTGTACCGATTTTCCCAGTTTTCCAATATTTTTCCCGTTTTATTTTTATTTTATAATAATTTATTATAAGGTACGTCGTACGATAGTTTGACGTAATATTTCCACTACGGTGAAGTAGCGCGTCGACGTTGTTTCACATGCACTCCTGGTACCCAAAATCATTTTTCAGGTAGCTCAGCTGTCCTTTCCGACTCTTCATTTTGTTGCTCTTTACCACTCGTAGTCAAAACTAATTTGTATAGTTTATGTTTTCTACAATAAATATAGCTCTAATCGTTTTAATGCGTGTTTTACGCAGAAGACCTTTTTTGTTGTACTTTGAATCTAGTTGGTTAATCAAAAAGTCCATTTTTGGTATTTCGTGTTCTGTTAAGGATTGAAAAAGACCGAGGAAAAACGTAAAAAGAACGATAAAGTTCGATAATATTTTGTTACCGCGTCAATTATCACATGTTGTGATCACGAGTATCGTTTTGTATTCGATGTCTATTCAAATAAACAAGTAATTTTTTTTATACATTAATACTGTTCTTGATTTTGTTAATTTATTCAATATNCCAATCGTTTTAATGCGTGTTTTACGCAGAAGACCTTTTTTGTTGTACTTTGAATCTAGTTGGTTAATCAAAAAGTCCATTTTTGGTATTCCGTGTTTTCTTAAGGATTGAAAAAGACCGGGGAAAAACGTAAAAAGAACGATTAAGTTCGATAATATTTTATTACCGCGTCAATTATCACATGTTGTGATCACGAGTATCGTTTTGTATTCGATGTCTATTCAAATGAACAAGTAATTTTTTTTATATTTTGTGACTTTTGTGCTTTGATTTACAAGTAAAATACTGAAACAATGATCTAAAAAAAAAAATAATTTATTATTATTTCAATACTGTTCTTGATTTTGTAATTATTTATTTAATTTGTTTTGCATATAAGTACATATTTTGTTGTAAAGAGAATTGATTAGTATAAAAATATTATTGCATATTTTACTAATATTTTTAGAGATTATTACAAGTATATGTATATTCAAATTTTTAAGAAAATATAAATCCGTTTGTTATACAGAAACTGCTGCCGCCGCCGGCTACATATCGCGGTTTGCAGTACACCGAACGGTGCCAACGACGTCGTGACCATATGCACTCCTGGTACCCAAAATTATTTTGTTTAACAGTTTCTCATTTTGTTCGTTTGTTGTCCTTTCCGCCTCTTCCCTTTTTTGATGTTCCATGCTGCTCGTAGTCAAAATTAATTTTTACGGAAATATATAGCTGTTTTCAAAAAACGCGAAGGACCTTTTTTGTTGTATTATGAATTTTGTTAGTTTTTTGATATCCCGTGCAGTTTTCGGAATAATTGAGCAAGACTGTATGTGTTTGTAACCGAATTTCAGCAAAAAACTACCAAATAATAAAATTTCTTTAAAGCTTAAAAGTGGCTAAAAAGTTTTGACAATGATACCGTAAGAAAGTAAATCAAAAAGGCAACAAAAAATTTGTCGTGTGATTTTTCGATTAAATAATTTTTTCAGGTAGAAAATGTCGTCCGTGTTTTTATATAATAACGAAATTGTGAAATGTTTCGTTTTCCTACGCTTTTTTCCACTTAGTGCTTTAATTTACGATACATATTGTAATTTATTTATTAATTTGTTAAACATATGAGTAGTCTTAATTATTAATACGCATGTAAATTGGATATTTGCGAGGACATTGTATAACTTTTTGGTAAGTTTCAGCTGTCTAAAATATTTTATTTTAATATATTTACAAGCCGAGCCCATTAACAAAGATATAGTATGGTTTAATTACTTATTTAATAGAGAAGTGCACACGGCAACAATAGTTCAGAAATTTAAAAATATTTAAAATTAAATTTAAAAAAAACCAACAACCACAAAACAAAAAAAAAATTATAAAATACATATTATTATTATTATTATTATTATTTTGTATTTTATTCGTAAATAGTTTAATTTGGAAATTTAATAATTCATTTAGTTATTGTGTTATTCATTAATAATTAATTTATTGAGTGACATAAATTATTATAAAAAAACATATATAGCATGGGATGGTATGATGACCATAGAAAGAGAAAATGCAAGTTTAAAACTATTATTTCAAACCAACTATAGCTAAATTTGCACGCTCCTGCAATCTGGCTTTCGGGAGGTTAGAATTCGTGGATTGGTTTAGGCGAGGATAGTCTATTGTCGATCAGACGATGGTCGGCTCAAGTCGGTGAAATGGAAACTCATAGAAATTGCCGTTAATAATTAGATGACTAGCTGTATATATTTGGATAGGAATTTGGTGACGATGGAGAACACAAGTAGTTGTCCTTGATGAGCAGAATAAATGCGAAGTTAGTAGAATTTGATTAAGTGAATGCCAGAAACGCTACACAAATAATTCAACCCTATCGAGGCCGCAATCTTCAAAATTATTTGCTTTATTTTCCGTCTGAACAACTTTTGCACAAAAAAACATGCTCTGAAGTATAGACTATAGCACGTTTTCCGAAAGGTAATTTTCTCTAATTGGTACATTGAGGAGGTAATTTTTTTGATTTTCCAAGGGACTTTCGAATTAATTGGGAAAAACCAAAAGAAACTTATAGCTAAAATGGCAGGTATTTAAGTCAAACGTCTAGAAAATGCATGATTAGTATTTTATGAAAATTTTAGGTCTATGATTATTTTTTTTTTTTAACTAAATAATAATAGAAAAACAAAATTGAAAATAATGAAGTCATTATTACCGTAAATGTTCTAGCTTTTTTAAAATTATGTAAAAACTACATGGAAAATCGAAAAAAAGATTTCTCGTAATTCACCAACTAACTAGAACTTGAAAACTCAAATAATGATGTATCACTGCAATATCGTAGCAAAATTCCAGCAATGGTGAATACGGAACCACTCAGTGATTGTCAATGTCAAATGTTATACCGTTTGACATGCGTAATTGATGTGATTGACCACCATGGTCAGTGTCTACGACGATACAATGGATAACCATCGATATTAGTGATTGTATCATTTATACAATTTTTTGGAAAACTTTTCGTACATTTTCCATTGTCCATGCACGGCGTCGTCATGTTTATAACACCGAATGGACTATGGATCATGTTAGCGGTAACAATCTCATACAATTCTTGATCGATATTCCGATCCGGAATTTATGCTGAGATAATTTTATTAATTTCTTCAGACTGTATTTTGTCGTCCAACTAAATCAAAATATGCGCGTATGGCAAACCTCGTTTTTGCTATTCAACAGAATACAGCCAGCAACGTGTTTTGCCTAATACAGAGGAATGTATAATCAAGTTCATCAACGATTTTAACTTTTGTCTGAAGACACGTGCAGTGATATCGTGCCGATCCTTTGCAGTTTGGCCTGGCAATAACGCAATTTTAATTTCATCCCATTTTGGATTACACGTAAATGTAATGAACAAATCTGGTCGTCCGTACGTGCGCACACGTCATGGCGTCTTGAATATATTCTTGCATATAATGTGGGCTACCAATATATGATGATGGGAGAAGTATCGATGTCGTTGATATTAGTTATTCCATCTACGTTATTAACAATAGCATCACGCAAATGAATATATTCCTCAGCTCGAAGTTTCGCTTGATTATACCTGATGTATTGTAATCAATTGCTTTCAATTTTCGTATACATATCAACGATATATTTATGAAACAGCTGACGGCATCGGAGAATATTACTGTTTTCATTTGCACGAATCATCAACCGATATGCGTTCCTCGTAGAAGTTCATCGCGCTCACTTTCTTGCTCGTTTCTACACCTGTTGCTGGATTTCTTTGTTTGATATTTAAATGATATCCATCTTCTCCGTCCCAAAATATCAATGGATATTGCAAAGCGTAATAAGAGCGATGACTGTCTTCAATCTTATGCACTGTGTTATCTCTGCGTATGATTCGTATATCTTGACGTTCAAATGCATCGCCAACCATAACAACTGCAACTTCATTAATGGTCGGTGCATTATATCGGCCCGCGTGCTGCCCAGATGGTACTTTGTCTGCTTTGATGATGATCGTATAGTTGTCGTTTTGCAGTCTGTTTGAAACGGTATAGAACAACTGGACCAACTGGTTGTGATTCTGTAAAAACGGTTCTAAAATACTCACAATTTCTCGCTCTTCCATCTGCTCGATATGGTTGTACTGGCAGCGTACGTTTATTTGCTGCTCCTCATCACCCATGAAGTAGATTTGCAGACATTTTGAATCGCTATCAGACATCGGAATTAAAAAACCAATTTGATGATACACTTGGCCTTGAATCTTAAACGTTGATTGAAAATTGCGACCATCCTCATTCTGAATGATTTTTGTTGCTCCAAATGATGTCATTTGAAAGCACGAATTGAATTTGCGAATTTTACGCAAAAAAAATTTAGATTGAGATGTGGCTCCAGCCAATAGTGCTTTCAATGGTTCTGGCGGCGAATTCAGTGGTGGCAATACAACTTTTCCAGATGCGCAGTAGAAACCGGCCGATTCACCTTTGTATTTGAGTGCATGACAGTGTTGGTATTGTTTGTTCATAGCACTGATTACAATTTGTAAATGTGACGAATAGTCGATGTCCGGATCATATTCAAACGCAAGGCGAAGAAGTGATTTTAAATGAATGTTTTAACTTTTATTAATAATTATATTTAATTGTTCATTTAACACTACATTATACTTACTCAATAATATAATAATTTCAAAAAGGTACCGTGGTTTAATGTAATGTCATTACGTTTACCCCTAACGCTTAAATCTCGTTTTCCTATAATTTTAATAACTTCAATTATTCGTTCTAGGATCATTATAGGATGCCGATTTTTTTTTAGATGTAGATGTATTTGATAACTGTTAAATAAACTATCAATATATTTTTGATGGCAGTGCATGAAATAGGCATCACAACATTGTACATGACTTTTAGTATTATTACTAATATTATAATCTCTATAGAGTGACATTCTTGTAAAAGCATAGTTCTACAGCTAATTATTTTTCATAAATTATTTATTAATATTGTACCATCAGCCTTATTTACACAATATAATACAATTTTGACATATTATTCAATTTACATCTCTATACATACCATAACTAATGGGTTATAGTGTTCTAGTTATAAATAGTTTTAAGATTTTTTTCAAATGGCTCTTACCAGCAGAATAATGGAGACAATCGGACTTCAACTTAAGGTCAACCTTTAGTGAGTAAATGCATTAAAGATGTATGTAATGCATTGATAATGCATAATATTTTTAATAAATAAGTATGTACAATTATCATGATATTTGATAATAAGGAGATGGTAAGGATAGTAAGGGGAAAAAGGAAAGGATTTTTGTTTTTTCAGACATGGATATTATACACAAATTAATTGGGATTATCAAAATTGGAATAATCTGTGAAAACAATTAATTTATTAGTCATTAAAACAAATAGAGAGAGAATACCTACTAGTACTAATATCATTCACTTTTCACAATTATTATTATGAAAACCTCTTGGAAAGTCAAAAATTGACTATTTATTATTACTGTTATTATTTCCATTAGAAATGTAGTTGTATTTGATAACAAATAAAAGTGTTCTATTAAAATATGGTTCATACTTTTTTTTAAATATAAAATCTAATTAATATTTATTTTTTAAATTACCAAATTACTCAATATTTTGCTGCCTATTAAAATTTACCGCTCAGGGCTATAGTTCTGTAAGTCATATGGTAAATATGTCTCTGCTAACCCACACTAACTAAAATTTATTAAAACACAACAAACCATAAAGTTCACAAAAAATGTAATATTTATATTATAAAAAAATGAACTACATATTTAATAGTGGTATTAATAGTTTGTTATAAAATAAAATAATTTACTTTGTAAACACTTATTTTTTTTTTATTCACAATAATAGTTATTAAAATTATAAAGTAAACTATAATTATTGTAATAGTACATCTGTTGTAGTACATTGGTTTTTGATTTTATAAATTACATAGGTATTATGAATTTCATATTTGTTCTGCAGATGTTTGGTTGTTAGGAAAACACATAATCTGTACGCAATAGAAAATATTGAAATATTTCACTTATTCTATAGGTTTCCAGTCTGTAGGTTTTGGTAAAACGATATTATTAACATTGTAAAATGACACATCACTTAAATTTACAATGGCCCATAGAGTAGGTACATTATCATGAGGATTGGAAACATTGACATCATGAATGTTTGGAAAGTTGTTTAAATTGTCCCTAGAACATTATAGTATAAAATGCGATCATTACTAAAACATAACACAGCATAATGTATATTCTTCATTCATACTCAAAAACAATAACTCTGAAATCTGGCACTGGTCTTTTTTTTTTGGGGAAATGGTTATTCGGATAATAAACATCATAACTTATGCTATAGTCAGTATTGGTATCAATTTCGTATTTAACTTTTGTTTCTTTAATGGCAAATAGTTTCTCTCTAATGTGACCTAAATTCAAACACATTTTTTAAACACTTATATTTAAATGAACAATGACTTATAAGGATATAAGTAAAAAAAAAAAAAATAGATAAATATAATACTACAGTGTCGTGCCTAGGGGGGTGGGGGATGCGAATAGTGCATACACACCAGATGCTATACACAAAGAGGAGCCATTGAATATTTTAAAGTCCTGTAATTTAATATTTTAAATGTAATAGACTTATGAGTGAACCCTGATGGGCAGGTTAAGCATAAAATCTTTCTTTTGATTTTTTTGGTACGTTATTTTAGTATCAGGCGCTGATTTTACTAAGCACAATACTGTAATATTCTGTAAGATGTTTGATTATAACTATCATTATTTTGTTAATTATATATAACAAGACAATTAAATATAAATAGTGGATTCCGGTAAATGTGACCATCGGCCTTATGTGGGCATAATGGTCTGGTCCCTATAATAATGTATAACCATATACATTTATATTAGCATGGGTCACCACTAAATGTGGTCAAATGTATCTGGTCCTAACATTCCCACATTATCGGAATCCACTGTATATCAAATAGTTTTACTTGGTATGGTTGATTCAATCGAAAATCCTTTATTTTTAGTAACTGCTTTAGATGATTCAGCTTTATCTTGCTCACTAATTGAATAATCTGTTTCAGTATTGGTTACATCTGCATTTACAACCAAAGAAGATGTTATAGTATTGATATTTCTAATTTAAATAATTTCTTTTTCATTTAAATAGTTACTCAGAGTGGAAGTCATGTTTACAGCAGCAGATAAATGGTCTTTATTGGTATTCAATATTTTTAATTTTTTCTCTTTTGGCTCATAAATATTTTCTTCAACAGACTTTACTTTTAGTTCTTCTCTTGTTTCTTTAATGGCAAATAGTTTCTCTCTAATGTGACCTAAATTCAAACACATTTTTTAAACACTTTTATTTAAATGCACAATGACTTATAAGGATATAAGTAAAAAAAAAAAAAATAGATAAATATAATACTACAGTGTCGTGCCTAGGGGGGTGGGGGATGCGAATAGTGCATACACACCAGATGCTATACACAAAGAGGAGCCATTGAATATTTTAAAGTCCTGTAATTTAATATTTTAAATGTAATAGACTTATGAGTGAACCCTGATGGGCAGGTTAAGCATAAAATCTTTCTTTTGATTTTTTTGGTACGTTATTTTAGTATCAGGCGCTGATNAAAAACAATAACTCTGAAATCTGGCACTGGTCTTTTTTTTTTGGGGAAATGGTTATTCGGATAATAAACATCATAACTTATGCTATAGTCAGTATTGGTATCAATTTCGTATTTAACTTTTGTTTCTTTAATGGCAAATAGTTTCTCTCTAATGTGACCTAAATTCAAACACATTTTTTAAACACTTATATTTAAATGAACAATGACTTATAAGGATATAAGTAAAAAAAAAAAAAATAGATAAATATAATACTACAGTGTCGTGCCTAGGGGGGTGGGGGATGCGAATAGTGCATACACACCAGATGCTATACACAAAGAGGAGCCATTGAATATTTTAAAGTCCTGTAATTTAATATTTTAAATGTAATAGACTTATGAGTGAACCCTGATGGGCAGGTTAAGCATAAAATCTTTCTTTTGATTTTTTTGGTACGTTATTTTAGTATCAGGCGCTGATTTTACTAAGCACAATACTGTAATATTCTGTAAGATGTTTGATTATAACTATCATTATTTTGTTAATTATATATAACAAGACAATTAAATATAAATAGTGGATTCCGGTAAATGTGACCATCGGCCTTATGTGGGCATAATGGTCTGGTCCCTATAATAATGTATAACCATATACATTTATATTAGCATGGGTCACCACTAAATGTGGTCAAATGTATCTGGTCCTAACATTCCCACATTATCGGAATCCACTGTATATCAAATAGTTTTACTTGGTATGGTTGATTCAATCGAAAATCCTTTATTTTTAGTAACTGCTTTAGATGATTCAGCTTTATCTTGCTCACTAATTGAATAATCTGTTTCAGTATTGGTTACATCAGCATTTACAACCGAAGAAGATGTTATAGTATTGATATTTCTAATTTCAATAGTTTCTTCTTCATTCAGATCCTTACTCAGAGTGGAAGTCATTTTTACAGCAGCAGATAAATGGTCTTTATTGGTATTCAATATTTTTAATTTTTTCCCTTTTGGCTCATAAATATTTTCCTCAACAGACTTTACTTTTAGTTTTTCTCTTTTTGGAATGTTTTTCTCGTATACCGGATACATTCCAGTAGTTGGTGATTCATAAACTATGCTTTCTTTTTCAATGAATGGTTTTTTTATGTAGTTTTCAGAGTAGTAATCAGATAGCATAGCAGTGATTTTCATATTTTGTGGAGTTTTAGTAATATTGAACATGTAAACATTGTTACTGGGTTGTAAATTGTGTGGTAAATAATATTGAGGTGGTGTTGTTACTACCACCCAATTAGTTCCTGGGATTATAGGAAAAGATTCATTATTTCCTAAGCACGAATTAACTGGATGGGTATTTTTTCTCCGAAATTTTGTTTTGTTTTTAACGTTATCCTTTATTCGTAAAGACTTCTCTGGTATTTTGGTCAGATTTGGTAAGCTAACATTTTTTCTGATTAGTGTTTTATCAAATTTAAACACACGGAATCCCATTTTTTTTAAATAGCTATATGTTTTAAATTGGTTAAAAGTACAATTGCTTCCTTCTGCTAATAATTGTATAAATGCATTTTGAAAAGACAATTCATTTCCGTTCCATCTCAGTATCAAATTATTCTGAAATCAAAATATTAACTAATTAATTAATTTATATATTGATAAATTACAATTTGTGCATTGTGAAGGCTATTTTTTAATTTCCTTATTATTTTGGAAAAAACATGGAAATGTATGCTATAATGGTAATAATAGTAATTATTAGGGCTGTGAATTTCTAGGAAAGTGTATTTTATTTAGCTGATTGTGAAACGCAGTTTTCTAAGTACATAATGTGAACTATGTAACAACAAATTAATTTATGAAATTTTTATTTCGAATATTTCGGATTTTTCGGATCATATTTTCATTTACGAGTTCATTTTTTAGGTTCATTTTTCATTTTTGAGGTATTTTTAATCAATGTCCCACGAAAACTTTACCTGTTGTAAGAAACAACCAATAGGATTGCGTCATATTAAAAATAGTTATTAGAGTCTGTAAAACAATATGAGAAGTTAGAGACTCAGGGGGTTTATCCAATCTAGGATGTACACAGTGGGCCAATCTCAAATAGATGGGATAAAAGCAAAAAAAATTGTTTTTATTATAATTTTATAAAATTAATCATTATTTACTGCAACAAACATCATATAACCCTAGTCCTATATTGCACTAAGTGTTATTTGATTTCTTACATTGTGAAAATTGATAGTATTTTAGAATAAACTAAAGCTATCATAATTGTAAAGTATCACAATGAAACTTTTGCATACTAGTTTTATTTACAATTGTTACATAACAGGCACACAATGTAATAAATCAGAATGAATATTATGTAAACATATAGAAATCAGTGACCTAATACAAATATTACTTCTTTATACTTCCTAGCATAGTATTTTAATTTTATTGTACCTATTGAAAAATATATAGTTACCTTTTCTAGCAAAAATAAGCATTCTTCTGGGTACAGATATATTGCTTTGTTCCAAGAATGAGCAAAATTTTTGGTAATATTATTTGCAAATTTAGTGATTTTTGCTAATTGAAAGTTTTCATCCCATTCAGCTTCAGATTGTGATGCACTATGTAAAAGTATAAATACTATTAATATATGCTATACATAAATAACTTTTGGACAAAATATTATTAACAAATAACAAATTATAAGTTTTCTTTGAAATTCTTGATTTGTATAAGACATAATTTTAATTTGTGTTAAAAAAATATTGTTGTTTTAGCTAATAACTAACAAATAAACAAAGTATATACAATTTGTATACACAATTACCTTTTTTTAGTAGTACGTGGTTTTTCCATTTTGAGTTTACGGGAGTATAAAAATTTATCAATTTCTTTTTCATTACACTTTTCATCCTTTTTTTCATTGTAGTTCATTAATTTGTGTGCCTTTTGTCCATGATATGGATCACACAACGTCCTATAAAAATAATTAAATATTAATAACTATGCAATATTATACAAAATATATATTATATACAGTGACTTTTTAAATTAAAAAGAAAATATGTAAAGATTATTATCTTTATTATTAGAAAAGATGGTTGCTATTAGCCTAAGCATTTTAAGTATAATTACTCAGTAACTTTTTGTTCAAATATTGATTAATATGTGTCGACATTATCAAAAAAAATCGTTGGTTAGTATTGATTGATAAATTTTAAACTATAATTTTAATATAGACAACATATCAATGTTTTGCTATGCTTATAGTTCAACAAACACAATAAAATGATGTTCGTAGTCCAAAAAAATAAAAATGTTTATCAGACTTTAGAAATTGACTTGGATTGTACAAATCTAATATTTTGCAAACAAACCTATTACACACTATTATTATAGTAAAAATGGAAATATGTGTGAGATACCTACATACCTCTATGTTGCTTGTATAATATTATTTTAATATTATAGTATTGTACCCAGTAATCACTAATAGGTGGTATCAACTATAATTAATAGATTATTTTTGGAGATCTCATTCAAGTTGTATTTAACTGTTAATTTTTGAATAAATATTTTAACTCACTTTTTGCCGTCCATAATATTCTATAAGTTCAATATAGGTATCAATTAATTCGTGGTTTTAGAGCACGAACTTGCAAGCGCTTTAGAATATGAACACAGGTTATATTATTACTTGAACTGTTGTTGTAGTTCTACGATATATACTGTAAAGGAAATACGCTTACTGTGAACGAAAACGCGACATACTTATGAACACACCATACACTTTATTATTCATAGTGTTTATACCACGAATTAAAATATTATACAGGATTTGTGCTGGGCATCATAGACCTCTAACAAATGGACTTCGTATTGATAATATTTTGTGTCGTCCATATAAACGTAAAGCAGTCATGGACAAAAAAAACTAATAAATATTCTGTTCCATGAAAAAATTTACAACGCAAAACATGTATTAGTGAGGTTATAGCATGTACGTAGCTATAGACGACAGACGATATTTTTAATTAAATCTCAATTTATTCTTATGAATGGGTTGATGGATATAGTCCTTTCATGAACAATTTTTACCAACAGATAAAAATAATTGGTATTCTATAGTATTACAAATTAGCAATTATTCAGATTTAAATTTTGCTAGCAAAGTTTTTAAACATTTTGAATGTAAAAACTTCGGAGATTATTACAATATTTAAATTTTTGATAGTTTTAAACTATCAGATGTTAAAAAAATATTGGAAGATTTTATAAATCCTAATATATCATTAATTAAATTTAAATCAGTTTATTTAAAAGCTTGGAAAGAAGAATGTGGATTGATAGCCTTTGATTTGAAAAATAACATGATTGTCCGCTATTGTTAATGTTATTAAAACGTTTTATTATAAATGGATATTGAAAAAATTAAAAAGGAAATAAAAAAAACGAACCGATACCAATAATTTAGAAAATCACGTTCCTTCAAAATTAATAATATTTTATAAGATAGAATTTAATTAAGTAATACTTTTAAAAAATCAAATATTATTGAAATAAATAATAATGAAAAAAAATAAAGCATTTAGTCCTATTAGAATTATTATTGTTATTGGAAGAATTACTAAATGTTGAAAATGCTGTTATTATAACTGATGGAAATATTTAAATGAAATGTTAGAGCCTGTGAAACCTTCAAGACAAATATCACGTTCTGTTAATGTTCATCCTAGAATATTACTATGTTAAATAATATTCCAACAAGATAAATTTAAATTCACACAATTCATTCTTCAATTTTTCTAGATCTTGCAACAAAATACTTATCAAAAACAACTGAGAGTAAATATGGAATATGGTATAATAATGATACCGAAAAACATATGATTGTAATAAATACGATTTATATAACAACAATGACATAGTTTTAGACAATAAAAAATATAAAGGTACACTAGGATTGTTGAGATTATTATTATGTAAAAAGTTATTGAATCAAATTCCTATACTCCTGAGGAATTTAATACTTATAAACAAATATAATTTAAAACAGATTCGTTTTAACGTTTTCTACCAGAAAAAATGATTAAATTTCAAGATACCTTTTTGATTTACTTTTTTGCGGTATCATCCCCAACATTTTTAAACCACTTATTAGCGTTTAAAAAAATTTAATTTTTGGGAGTTTTTTTGCTGTAATTCGATTATAAATACACGTAGATACTTGAAACTTGGTTATAGTAATTAAATTGGACTTACCTAGACGTGGTAAAATTTCCAAAATTATCGGATGACGTTTTCCTTTTTTTAATTTTTTTACAATGGTACACTATTTTCTTTTTATTCTGTAGACCACTTTCATCCTAGAAAATTGTGTTAAGCAATGGTTTATCGTTGTTTTCAGATATAAATGCAATAACCTTATGTTTTTCAAAAAATAACAAAATTGTAAAAATAATAAAAACATTTTGTTCATAAATTTCCGTAAATATTTTTGAACCCTTTCTGAACTATTTATAGACATTTAAATTTTCTGAGTTTTGTGTGTAATATTTATTTGGTATGTTCATTATAAGTTGTAATTAATGATCAATGAGAAAGAGTTGACTTAAATGTAGTTTTTTCTTTATACGATTTTTAACATCAAATTTTGACGATATTCATAAATATTAAGGCATTTTAAAATATGTATAACTGAACTCAGAATTGTTGTCACTTTTAATGATGGAAATAATTTTAAAAGGTTATTTTACTAGCGAGATACTTTAGAGATGTAATTTTTTGATTTTCTCAAGAGTTTTTCCAACAAATAAGAAAAATCGAAATAAAACATGGGAAATCTAGGAAAAACGTAGGAAAACTAGAAAAATCAGTAAAACATTAAACCAATATCATTGAAGAAATTATATGAAACCTATTTAAATATTTTATTATAAAATGGCATATGTATTGTTGATAAAGCATCACTATTAACTGAACTCCGCTCAGAATCGTTTTTTTATTAAGCAATGGTTTATCATTGCTTATAATTATACATTCAATTATCTATAACAGTGGCTGCACCCGTCCCCATTATCCTAGAATGTCATTTTTGATATTTATTACCTTTACTTAATTAAATTCTTCCCGCGATTTTATCATTATTTTGATATATCGAATCTGTTTTAAGTTGCATTTGTTTATAAGTAGAGCGCGGATTAATATGCATTAATAACTAACCGAATACGCGCTAAAAAACCTTAAATACGCATAAATATATGCACTAAAATGTTAAAATATGCATGCCAAATATAAAATATGCACAAAAAAATTACCAACAAAATTTGTTTTTGAACATTTAATTAAAACAATAAATTAAACATGATGGAATCTACTGTAAATACTTTTTTCTTTTCTTTACATTACTTTTATCATTTTGCATCTAGTTTTAATGTATAAGACTCTCGATACGACGATTTATCTTTCGGAATTTTTGATAAAAATAAAGTAATAAAAACGCGTGTTTATCGGTATCATTATTATACCGTATTTCAAATTTACTCTCAGTTGTTTTTGATAAGTATTTTGTTGCAAGATCTAGAACAATTGAAGAAAGAATTGTTTGAATTTATCTTGTTGGAGTATTAGTAAACATAGTAGTATTTTAGGTCGAACATTAACAGAACGTGATATTTGTCTTGAAGGTTTCACGGGCTCTAACATTTTTTAAATATTTCCATCTGTTTTAACAACAGCATTTTCAACATTTAGTAATTCTCCGTTCACAGGGCTAAGCGCTTTTTGTTTTTGGTCTTCCAAAAATTTTTTTAAACATATGATCTGATAGTTTAAAAACTGTTAAACATTTTAAATACTGTGATATGCGTATATATTTTTTTATAATATACGTACGGTATTTTATTTAAACAAAATAACATTTTGTAATGAATCGCCCCGTATGTCGGGGTCCTATAACAAATTGCAATTGTCAAACAATAACAATACTTACCGATACACAATATTGCAATAACAATTATAAACGTTGAAACCGGCAAACACCATATTATTCTAAACCCGATCCGCTCGTATTTCTCGACAGCGCGGTGCGTCTCTCGCGGGTGCGTTGTACGTATAATAATAATAATAATAATAATAACAATAACAATAATATGTTGCAGGGAAAACGACGACGACGACGTAAGATATAATAGTCGAGTCGATATATTATTGTATTATATTTATATATAATAATGATACTATTATGTACGAGCGAATATTATACATACATACATACATATATATATATATATATATACGTATATATACGTATATACACGTATATACACGTATATATATATATATATACGTGTGGTCGGAGACGATTGGCGGCGGTGGCGGAAATTGCTGCGAGTCCGAGATAGGAGCGTTAGCCGCGGAAGCGCTTTGTCGGCGGCCCGCGAAAAAGAGGATTACGACGACGGCGGTATACAGACACGCTGCGGCCCGCCGAAGAAAAGACGCCGAGACGCGGCGAGTGTGTGCTCGCGATACGTGTGCCCGCCGACGGATTTTTATTATTATTATTTTTTTTTTTTTTCCCACCCTATCGTTCGCGCGTCATTAATTCCAACCCCCCTCCCCCTCCCCCTCCGCGGTTTTATGTTATTGTTGTTACACGACCGACCGCCGCGGTGTCTCGTAACACACGGTCTCGGCCGCGCGCCCGACACATTTCATTTGCGGACGGTGGGCGGTGGCGGGGGAAACACTGCTAAACACAGACCGAACGATCAAATTCGAATATTGTGTCGAGCCTTAAGATGCTGGAACGGTGGCATTTTGCCGTCTCGGCGTAGCGTGTTTCCGACAGAAAATGCAGCGAAAATATAATGTTCGCGCGTAAAACTAATTGAAAGCCAATTAAAATCGATTTTAAAGATTAAATAAAAAAAATACTTATATAATTTGTAGTAGTATACGTTTCGAAGACAACCTCAGTGGCGCAATCAAGAGGGGCGTTTCGGGTGTTTGGGTGTCTGAACAATCCTACATTCAATGACCATTGCAAAAAAAACAATTAGGTTATATTAGGCGGACCTCAAAAAAAAAAAAAAACCCTAGTTGTACAACCGAATAACTTCATCTTCATTTTTCGAAATTTTCATAATTAAAAAAAATACAGTTCTTCGAAAAAAAAATTATAAAATATCATACGATTTTTTTGATTCGCCAATAATAAGATGAACAATTAGAGAATTGTAAAACGCCGACGAATTCACATTTTGTTATCAAAAAATTACATATAAGGTGTTTTATCTTTAAACAAAATTTTAAAGGTCTTTTCATTTCTTTTACGCGAAAAATTTTTGCTATAGGTATTATCTGTTAGAAAAAGAGAGCCGGTAAATTTTAGTTTTTGACGTTTTTGTTTCGTATAAACATACGCAATTTTAATAACTCGTACAATAATTTCATATTGCAATGTAGATGGGAAACTATATAGAAAAAAACGGACATACTTCACACGTGGGTGGGCCACTGTTGAAGGTGAAAACAATGTAGGAAAGTAGAAAGGAATTTTAATGTTTACTTATCTGTTTACGCAACGACTAACCAAT